CAGTTTTTCCTCTCCACTGTCGATACAAGCATGCTTAGAGTGAGGGATTATCTTTGAGTCAATGAGTCGATGCAATCAGCTGGTTATCCTTAGATAGAAAACTGAAAATTTGACTGTATGATCTGGTGAGCTGTAAAGTGCCTTGAGATAACGTGTTGTGAATTGGCGCTATATAATAAACTGAATTGCTTTCAGTCTCGAAATTAAGAAAAGATACCAATGGAAACATATTTATATGGTCAGTAGTAGTACATTTCTGCAGTGCAATAACCAAAGTCGACTACTGTGCAGTCTTCCCTTAGCTCTCCACTGTGTAGATATTTTTATATCTAAGGGAAACATTCTGGGTCATTAAAACTTTTTTTCTTCATGCCTTTTTGCACTATATACTATTTCTATATTGCCTGTTGTATTTTATCTTTAATGGCATCTTGCTTTAACTCTTTGTACTCTATATAAGCTACTGGAACCAGAATTTCCCTGAAGGAGTAATCCCAAGGGATAAATAAAGTTGAGTCTAAGTGTAACAGACCTCTGGTTTCCTTTTGGATGCAGCATGCAATCCTACAGAACAGACTGGTGGGTAACATCATATGGTGCTGGAATTAACACAATCTCCTAAAAGCCAGACTGATAATCATTCTCACTGATGGCGTCCAACTGAATAAAGTCGGACGCCAACAAACTTAATCATAAGGTCCTTTTGTACCTGGCAGTGGTTCCTGGCCTGCTCCCAGGTGGTGTTGTGGGAAATGGTGAAGTACTGTCTTTCTGCAGCCGTGTACACCAAAAAACCTGAGAACGAACAGGGAGATAGAAGCCTATTTGTTTTAAACCACATCAATCTCTTTCCGCTTTTCTTTAATAGCATTAATATATAGATTTAAGTTTCTGGTTCACTAGCTAAAAATGCTTATAAATATGCAGATTACTAACACTACCATAAAAAACAATCAAAGAATGATACTCACCCAAACAAATTGAGATACACAGCTTATGCGTGACTGATAGGCATCCCATGGTGGGGTCCCGTTTGTGGAAAGGCTGTCAAATTGTCCCTACTAAAAAGGCCCTTAAGAGCATTAACTTAAACAAAGCAGTGAAATTAAGAGAAGCTAAACTTCGACAGATTGTCTCTCTACCAAACCTGGGCTTAAATGTTTCACCTCGCTGAGAACAGAAATTATTTGTCACAAAATGCCCCAGCAACATCTCCGCCCACAGGTAATAAATATGACACACATCACAAGGCTCTATTCAATCCAAAATACCTTTGGACGTGGCTATTTTGCATTTATATTCTAAACATGCAAATCAATGAAAGGTTTGCACTAACAAAACACAACACATTGAGACGCAAGACGTTTATTTCAATTTAAAGCTCAAGTGTAAATAGCAATTAGTAGAAAAATACATGAAAATGGTGGAATACAGAGAAACAAAAACAAAAAAAATTCTGCAGAATTAAATCCCCAGATAACAAATATATATAATAAAAAAAAAAAAACAGTAATGACACCAAAAATGCCTCTGGTTATTGTGTTTTGGCAGTGTTTATGTCAAAGTGGTCCTCAGTCATTGATTGGTCACATCAAACCAAAGTGCCAGAAGTGGTTTTAATAAGAAAATAAATGGAATCTAATGCTGTAAAGATGCAGTTGAATCACCATTTTTAAATACAGCTCAACATCGTTAGATATTTTTCTTCTGTATCAAATGACAATTTGTTTTATAACATGGGCCATATTCTAACTATGTTTGTATAAAAAACAAAAAAAAATAAACCTTATGTTTAAAGGGTGATCCAGCCAACCCGTTGTTTACTAACACTACTTTAGACGAAACATAAAAAATGAAATTTAGAAGATTAAAAATAAAAAAAACAATTACAGTTACTAAAACCCATCTAATACATAATTATTTTTTTTCCTACTAAGAACATATTCTGATAACTGGGCTTTATTTGGCTTGAGGCACTGAAGAATCCAACCATAATTTTCAAGATACATTTTATTTCACCTGGTTACAGAACAAATATTGGTTGAAGTCTTTTAATAGAAGTAAAATACTGCCTGCAAAACCCAGCAGAACCCAACTGTTATAAGAAAATGGCAGCGAATCGTTTGAAACAAAGTAAAAAAAACATGAACAGCTTAAGCTAGCAAACAATGATTACCAATTCTAATACAGGGAAAACAGTAAACAGATTCTTACATTTGAATTAAACCCCATGACCAAGTCTGATCCGATAGAAAACAAAAAATTCATCCCCATTAAACGGACGTTTTTAGTATCAAGATTACAGGAAGTATATAAAAATAGAAAACATTAAAAAAAAAGAAGAAAATGAACGGGAGTAGTTAATCACTTTCACTTTGGCCTCGCATCAGCCTCTTTCCACTGGAGGGGGCCGGGATTTCAAGTTTGGGTTTTTTGCCCCTAAAAGAAAAAAAGAAAAAAAAAGAGGAACAAATTATATTTTGCACTGACAGATCTGTGTTTTTTCCTGACAGAAGCTTCTGTTATTCAGATTATTCTTGCTGGGCTCCAACACATTTTAACACATCAGCCTCTAGAGTTCGCTGAAAAGAACTGCAACTAAACTCAAAGGATCAACTTGAAACTATCAACTTCTAAAAGTCCAACAGAATCGTACATTTTCCCAGCATTTGAGAAAACTTTCTGGACATACAAGGACAAAATGTTTACCTGGGTGGTGTATGGCACAGCATTGCCAATGCAAAACAAAGCTGGCTCCTAAAACCAAGACTCGATTTTACTGAATTATAACAGCTCTGTCAAGAAATTAAAGGTAAATGCGCCTTTCAAAATTGAAGCAGATATTTCAGAGGCAAGGATTGTTGCAGTAGTGGAAATTAGCCTTTATGTTGAAGCTGCATAATTTAAGTTTATTTTATGGTTAATGTACATTATTCACTACTTGGTAAATCAAGCCATGGATATAAATGGTTAGGCTTTTGAAAATGCAGAACTACTCAACTCAGAAGAACCCCCACAAAAAACTAAGGCTACGTTCACACAGCAGCCTGAAGTGACCCAAATCCGATCCCCCCCATGCGACCCAGGCCACTTGGCTATATGGTCCTGAATCCAATAAGAATCTGATCTTCTCTATTGCGACCTGTGTCTGAACTGCTAGGTAACATTCATCTGACCTAAACGTCATTAGTACTCAACAAAGGTCACTATTCTGCATCTTTCTACTCGCAAGCAGGAAGAAAAACAACAACCATGGTGGACGTTGATGCGGAGAGTAGCATTTATGGTTAACCATCCTGAAAAGATTTAAGGTTGGGAAAGATTCCTAGATGTGCTCCAGCACTACCATCCATGTTTACTTCTGTAAACACAGAGAACACTTGCTTGTGATGTCATTACATCCTATACTGCGAATGCGGGACACTTTTGTTGTTTGAATGCCATTCACTCAGGAGATCACATACAAGTCGCATATATTTGGAAAGTGAATTTGGAATTTCACAAAAAATCGTAATTTAGCATTAAAGCCTGCAGTGTGAACGTAACCCAAATGGGATCAAAAATTCAATTCCAATGAAAGCAAATTGTGAATTAACATTAAATTAGAGCCTCCACAGCAACCAGACAGACTCCCGACGGACATGGACGACCTCCACAGGCCCCAAAAGTTCTTGCTGAAGAAGACGGCCAGGAATATAAGTGAAAAGATGAGAGGAAGGAAAAAAATTTAATGTGGCAGTCAGAGTTCCTGAATTTGGGAGTTTAAATTAGCTGCACAAATAATCAAAACCCACTTCAAACGTGTTTAAAACATGTATGATATTCTATTTATCGATCTACACCGTAACATGTTTTGCTTTTACAACACTTGTTTTTCCCCTTAAATTCCCCTTCTGCAGTCTCAATGAAAGACGTCATGGTAACTGATAAAGCCTTTCTTTATAATGTGCCATAGTTTAAAGTCCAGAGACGGCTGCCTGCCCTTTATGTAGAGTTGGGGAAATTCCTTACCCCTCTTTGTCCATTAGTTCCAGCCCATCATTCAGGGTCTTGAACCAAAGGTAGCGGTTTCGACCCTTTATCTGCAAACAGGTTAAAAAGGTACAGGGTTAATAGATCATTTTGGTAACATTGCGATGACATCCAGCTGTAGATTTGCAGGCCCCATACTTACAGTAAGAATATAGGTCTCCTTTTCCTCCTCCTCACCGCTGGAACCAGATTTAGATTTCTTGGCACTAGACGCTTCGGGAGCAGAAGAGTTTTCTAAAAAATAAAGACACATCATGGTAAGTGAAGCAGCAACACGGTCCAGTGAACATTAAAAAGATGAAGCATACTCTTTTTCTTGACTGGTTTGGTCTTCATCTTGTTTTCTTCCTCAGTTTTCCGATCGCGACCAGGACAGGCGCAGACACGGACCTCAAAGCACCTCCTGCCCAATACCATCCCTCTAAAGATGTGCAAAAGAGCCAAAGAGTAAGAAAAGTCAGAATTAATGAATCTATTCTTAAAAAATGTATGTCTAAAATATGCTGGACCAAGTCGCTAACAGTTTTTGATTTTTCCTATCCCACGATCCAAATCATGGTTTTAACAAAAATCTAAACTCACTCTGGTGTCTCCAGGGTTAGAATAGTCAAAATCGGACGTCGATTCATCCCCCCCATGCAGGAGCTGTTGCACATGAAGCTGATCAGTATTGTCGTCACTGCTGAACCAACCTGTGAAAGATATAAATACATAAATAAGAGAACTTCTTATTAAAACTGTGCATGACATACAGGGATATGCCGATTTGCTTAAAGAGCCACATTTTCTGGGTTGTGACAACCTTCCACTAACTACATGGATCAGTTACGGGCTTGCTGGAGTTGGAAAAATAGAATTTTTGCTGCTTGACACGCCACATCAAGCAATCCGAGAAGCTGAGCTGATAGCTGGCAGGGAGACAGACACAGCACTGCTGATGCAGATCACTATGATCACTCCTCTGAAAAAGTATAACGCCTAAATTAACTTAAAATGTCAAAACCTGCTGGCAAAATAAAGTCGCCTTCATTATTCTGGTGCCTGCAGTTTGTACAACATACCTGAAAATGCTAACATCTACTTCAAACCGCCATGAGCAACAGCGGAACCCCCCCAGCTTCTGCAGCGGATTCCTAGTGACAGCGCACAACCGGTATGCGGAGAATCTCAGCAGCTCTTACAGCAAGATAATATTTTAAAGGTAGGATGATAATCTTGTTGAACTGACCGCACAGATGATTTGAGGTGGACTTTCTCGTTTAAAAATATATTAAAAAACTACTTTTTATCCACTTATAACAGCAAATATAGCAAAGCTGCTCTCTGCCTTTGAATACAGGAGCAGCAGAAGCTTCAGAACACACTTTACTGGACTTTGGTTTGGCATAAATGATCTAGTCTATCCATTTATCTCTCGGTGTTCTGGAAAGAGTAGCCTATTTTAGCGTAGTGGTTAGTTATGTTCTGCCTTTTCCCCAACAAGCTGAATCCAGTTAAATCTAGATGGTGAACAATTATAAACAATCTGAAAATACCATCTGTACTTTGCCGCTTCTTTTCTCCTCCTTCTTACCCAAAATCTGGGAGCAACAAAAAATGCAACTAATAAATATTGGGAAAAAATGCTTTATTATGTAAAGCTAAAAACATTTTCTATAGATCTGAAAACAAAGCCAAAAAAAAAAAAAAGAAATGGTGGGACTTACTTGTGGGCGCTCATATGGAACGGTGACACTCTGCCTCTTTGTATTGGGGTCTTCAAAATACTGGGCCAGCTGACTCCCCTCCATCCTAATCAAATGGCTGCGATTCTCTGATGCTGAGTTGAAGACGGACGGGGGGTGAAGGGGAGAACAAAGGAACAATTTTCACCTATGCCTAAAAAAAAACTGAAAACAGAACTTCTCTTTTAAAATGATGCGTCTTACCATCCTCGCTCTGGTGATGTGGGCACCTTTTCACTACCTCGGCTACGTGCTCCGTCTTTTTGTAGACCGCAGTTGCCCTCAGAACGGCTCCAGGAGGAGGATCAGAAGAGAGAATGATGCCAACAGGACTAGTTTTTGCCACCTGGCAGAACAGCTTGTTCAGCAATGGAGAGTACTGGAAAAAAATAAAAAGATGGGTCACCATCAGAATAAGATATGTTTGTTTTGATACCCTAAAAAGATCAGAAGGAGCAAACAAAGCCAAAAGCTTCTAACGGTTTTAAAATCTAGGAGGCTATCAAAGAAATGTTCCACCTCTCTTACCATAACCAGAAGTCATTCAAACTTCAGAGCACTTTCTCTCCATCTATTTTTAACCCCTTCTTTTCCAAGGGAAGCCTGTGGAGGAACATGTCCCGTCATGTCAGAGCTCTGCACTGCAGCCAATCTACGCCTCCTTCAAACAGCACAGGACCCACTGCAGGAGGCGGTCTGTTTCAGGCCAGACCACCCCAACTTCAACTGAACCGACCAACTGAGGACGAGAGTCGACTCAGGAAGCGGAGAAACACCAACCAGATTGGTGGATTTTAATCAGGGTCGGCCTCCTGCTCTTAAACTTTAGCGAATCGCCACAATGAACAAGACGCCGCTTGAATGCCACCTAAAGAGATCCAAATGAATGGATTTTGATGCAGTCGAGGTAAGAAAATTTTTTACTGTAAAACTAGAAACTAAACTGGTTTTTTGGTTAAAACATTTTACGTGAAAACTTTAAGGTTTGCTTCCAGACAAAGGGAAACTTTGTACTTTTAAGCAAAAGGTAAATTATTAAGCTATTAAGAGGCTCTGTGGGGCAACTAAGCCCAGATATGAAGAACTGGAAACCCGTTCGATTCAGATTATGTGCTTCAAAGGCACATTTATGCTGATCATCATGTTTGGTTGCACAGGAAACAATTGCACATGTCCCAAAATATTGTTTTTCCTGATTATTTCTTTATTACAAATGTAGCAATAAGCTATATATGTTTTCTGAAACAAGGGCTGTGGTGAGTTAGTACTACTGTGATTTGGAACAGCTTACAGTTGATGTGACGGATTTGGCTGTTCCAGATTTTTCAAACTGCAGTTCCAGGCCATATTCTCCAGAGTGGTCCGTAGTCACAGGGACTAATGATGACGGAGGGTTCACAACGTCTCCGGCTGCCTCAGTCTTTAACAGGAGATCATAAGTCGTTATGTCCCCGTCATCCTAAAAAAAAAAAAGAAAAAGAAAAAATGCAATACAGAAGAGTTACCACAAAAAGAAATAACCAAAATCCTTCTGCTCCTTTAATCTTAAAAGTTTAATCATTGATTACTTTCCTCGAGTACTTACAAGAAAATTCATATGAGCCGCCTCATTCTCATTTGTAATTTCCGGCAGGTTGGTTGAGCTGAAAATAAATAATATGTAAATTTAATACAAACACAAAGTGAAGTGAATTCATTAAATAGCAATACAGAGTGAATAATGATTACTTACACGGATTCCCACAGCTGAGGGAAAGAGTCTGGCAGATCGTCTAAGGTAAAAAGACCCTCTTCCAGTGCCTCAGCCATGGGAAGAGCTTAGCTCTGTGAGGGGATAAACAGAACACTCTTATGAAGTGAACGCAGCTCTAATAAAACAAGTTAACATTATACATCAACAGTATTATTGTAGCCCTACAGCGGCACCCAAAACAATAATTTCAAATAAAAAAATCATAACAAAAATAAAAAGCGTGCATCAAGAGTTCTACATATTTAAGATCCAATCAAAATTCAGCCATGAAACATTCATGTTCAGGTTGCCTAAACCTGAACATGTTGAAAATAAGCAACATTTAGACCCACAAAACATATTTTAACAAGAAAACCGCTACACTGAACAAATACTGCTATTTAATTCATACGTAGTTTTGTATCCTTACTCATTTGTGACCAAATGAATGTCTGAGAAACAGCATACTTTTATATTTTCTGTATAGTTCTCATCTGTAGCACAGCTTAGGATGAGAACAATTCAATATCATTATAAATAGCTATATATTTGTATTCAATAAACAATGACTTTTGAGATCTCAATGTAAATTGCAGTCCGATTACAGATTTACATTCAAGGTTTTTATATAGTAAAAAAAAAAAAAAAATCTAAAATGTTGGAAATGTCACAAAATTGTCTCACGTTTGTACAAGATTCTGTTGTAGGTATTCCAGGCTGTTTAATGCTTTAACTTTGTTAACATTGATACAAACAAATTCAATAATCAACCAAAGTGAATAAATATTTTGTAATAAAACGTTTGGTTCTACACTCCAGGATTACCACAACTAATACCAACACAAAAACCAGTACTTTGTAGTGTTTAATAGTCTTTACTGGAATTTTATTTTTACTTTTCCAATATTCCAATTTGGAGGTTTTTTTTAGTTTGTTGTTCGGTACAATGTGATAATGTAAGGAGGGTACTATAAATCAGCATTAATAATTTTAAAAGAGATTACTTGTTTTTTTGGGGGAGATTGTGATTAGTTAGTTTACAGTTAGTAGTTTGCCTTGGCAGAGCTAAATGTTACATAATTGCCTTTTAATTGTATCAAATATAGGTTGTAGGAAATAAAAAAATAAAATAATAAAAACTGAAAATAGTTGCACATTGTTTAAAAGGGAGAAAGAAAAACGTTAGAACATTTAATCGAGTACAGGGTGAATTAGCTAGGCCTTCCAGCCACCACTCTGATGCTACCGAAACTACCACAAAAAAGCCATCTTACATAACTATATATTCCACTACGCAGTTTAAGGCGAAACATATAACCCTCACTCGTACAAACACCAGCTATATATATATATTTTTTTATCTAAACCGAAAGTTTGCTTTGCATGAATGAGCTAGCATCGTCGTCTTTACATACATTTTCACGCTATTATTCGATAAAACATCACTCTTAACTGCAAAAATACCTACTAAAAAGAAAAGAAACATGTAAACAACAACATCAATTGATCACAAACTTAAAAACAATGCTTTTTTTTTTTTTTTGAATCGCAGTTTTAGTGTTAGCATCGGTGGCTAGCTACGTTGGTCCGACGACTTTCTAACTGGCGACAGTTAGCTTAAACTGCTGCAAAGCAAATCATTAAACAGGAAGTGGGATTAAAATAGCTAATTGAACAAACAGATACTCATATCATTGAACATTTGGTTTAACTTTCGCCCTACCAACAGTGTTGACTCACTGGGGTTCCGTGGAAGCCTTCAATTCGTATATCTTCAAAATATTTTGAGTTAGTACACCACGTTGTTGGGGAATCCCAGTTAAAAACACGAAGGGGGAGGGAGAGGAGTTTATCTCTCGTGTCGTCCAATCACAGAGCGGTCTGAAGAAAAAAAAGAAAAGAAAACGCGACTTCTGATTGGATGAAAGGGTGAAACGTTTGCTGTGCTCACAACCATTACAGCTTTTTCTTTTCCCAACCTTTGAGTTTGTGTAAAACAACATTGCAAACATCAAGCTGAAACCTGAAGTAAAACTAAAGTAAAAAGATGCAAAAAGGTTATCCCAACCTTAGTGTACCATAAGTCAGAAATGTCAGTGGTTTACACCAGATTTAAGGTAGAATTCATGATGTTTTAGTGAAATAGTCTGAATATCAGCAATATGGATATGAAATACCATTTTCAGGATATAAAGGATAAATATTTCGAAATTAGTGTTATTAATTAATTACTATACAAATGCTCATATTAATTTTATTATTTAAATGATTTCATTATCAAGAAGCAAAAACTGTGCATAAAATCTGTGTTTTACTACTTCTGCTGAGGAAGTTATCTTTTAATTGGCATTGGTTTGTGTGGTTTCCAAATAACTAAAAGAAAAATAAGTAATGGACAGATTTAACTGTCTATCAGTTAGAATTCTGACCCTCAAACACCTTTTAGTCTGCTTTCAAAATGTCCACCTCCACTATTTATTATCCTAAATTAGATGCATCTGCATAAAGACACCTGTCCACTCTATACAATCAGTAAGACTCCAACTACTACCATGGCCGACACCAAAGAGCTGTCCGAAGACACTAAAGACAAAATTGTAGACATTCACAAGGCTGGGAAGGGATAAAATCAGCTTGGTGAAAAAAGGTCCACTGTTGGAGCAATCATTAGAAAATGAAATAAGCTAAACATGACTGTCAATCTCCCTCGGACTGGGGCTCCATGCAAGATCTCACCTCATGGGGTCTCAATGTTCCTAAGAAACGTGAGAAATCAGCCCAGAACTGCACAGGAGGAGCTGGTCAATGACCTGAAATGAGCTGGGACCAGTGTTTCCAAGGTTACTCTCGATAATACACTAACCCCCAGATTTGTCCGTCATGGTTTGAAATAATCTATGGAACGGAAGTTTCCCCTGCTTAAAACAGCACATGTCAAGGTCTGTCTTAAGTTTGCCAATGACCATTTCGATGAACTAGAGGAGTCATGGGAGAAAGTTATGAAGTCAGATGAGACCAAAATAGACATGTTTGGTCATAATTCCACTAACTGTGTTTGGAGGAAGAAGAATGATGAGAACTATCCTAAGAAAACCATTCCCACTCTGAAGCATGGGGGTGGTAGCATCATGCTTTGGGGTTGAGGATGTCCGGGGCCATGTATTGTGAGATTTGGTGGAACAGCCTCCTTCCCTCAGTTAGAGCATTGAAGATGGGTCGAGGCTGGGTCTTCCAACATTACCATGACCCGAAGAACACAGCCAGGATAGCCAAGGAGTGACTCTGGAAGAAGCATTTTAAGGTTCCGGCATAGCCTAGCGAATCTCCAGACCTAAACCCAATAGAAAATCTTTGGAGGGAGCTCAAACTTTGTGTTTCTCAGCAACAGCCCAGAAACCTGACTGATCTAGAGAAGATCTGTGTGGAGGAGTGGGCCAAAATCCCTCCTGCAGTGTGTGCAAACCTGGTGAAAAACTACAGCAAACGTTTGACCTCTGGAATTCCAAACAAATGCTACAGTACTAAATGTTAACATAGATTTTCTCAGATGTTTAAATACTTTTCATACAAATAATAATGCTTTGTGATTTCTGGATTTTTTTTTGAGTTTCAGTATATGTATTAAATTAATTTTAACAAGTTTATTAGGCAAAATATCTTTCTGTATGTATATTTGGACAGCCTGCAGGATCAATGATGTGCTCATCTAGATGACCTCTCAGTGTTTTCTGCTACTTCAAATGCTTTGGCTTTGACCTGAACACACACCAGATGTTACACATCTTGATGCAGCTATAGAGGACTCCTTTTTTTTCTCTTACAGACAGAGTTTTAAGTTTAACTGCAGCACAGATGATAGTCCCTCTGCTCGCTGTTCCTCATGATGAGCCTGATGATGCTTAAACCTCTATCTCATTTCTTGCAGGAAGAATACAGGTGATTAGCTGTGACTGAAAAACAGCCTACTCTGTTAGCATTTAGGTTCTAATGTCTTTTACCAACAAACATTCTAAATATTAACTGGGTGTCTGAGCTGGTTCACTGGTAGGCAGCACAGAGCTTCAGTAAAGACTAGTGATGTCAATGAGCAAAATTAAAAATATAAATATGTCAAAATATTTTTTACTAAAGAACGTCTAAAGTTTACACTAGCATTTATTGATAATTAGGACTTCGTTGAGGGAGAAAATGAAAAATGAAATCGGACAATTCTTATTTTATTTCTGACTTTTCTTTTAATCATAGTTTTAAATTAACTAGTTGTACATTTCATAAATTTATTAATGACTGCACAGTATTTATGTTACCAATTGTTGCTCATACTCTACAGCATTTTTCGTCTTTTTTATTCACTTTTCAGTTCTACTTTAGTGTCATTTCCCCATTGCATAACAATAAAGATTTCTATTTCTTCAATGCTGAATTGCAATAAGTCCCTATCAATCTACATCAAAATGTTAAAAGTGGCCTTTTAAAATCATTACCCCTTAAAAGTGAAAGCATGTTTACAACGTGCTACATTGAATTAATATGATTAAGAAAGTTTAATTTAATTCAGAGCAATAGAGGACTTGCTGCCAGATGCATCTTATATTATTGCAATCAATGTAAACTTTAAAGTAAAATAGATCTTAAAGTAAAGGTTAAAAAATACAAAAAGTTTTGCAAAAATTTGGGCAATTCTTAAAAAAGTTGCATTACATAATCTGAATATATGGGGTAAAAGGTGAGTAATTTATTTTATTACAGATACTAAAATACAAAAAAATAAAATTATGGATGAACCTATCAATTTTTAACAAACCAAATTTTAAATCATTCCCACACCCAATAAATATTCATGCGAAGATTCTGCAGTATTGGATAATGTTTAAGTAAAATTGCATGATTATTCTTTCTAATATCTTTTAATCTTTTGTTGATACAGGCAGGATGATGTCACTCTCAGTCAAATACCTGTTCACTCGTAAGAAGAAGCTGTGGTTCTACTTTTCTGGTGAAGTCAATCCCACGTAGCTCTCTCTGAGCCTTTGTTCTTGTAAATCCCTGTGAATGTAAACCATTGATTAGCTCCACTTAAAGACCCAATAGGATCTTTAAGCTCTAACAAAAGGGCTGATGGAGCCACAGTGTAATCACAGTCCATTTTCCCCCCCTTTTTCATTGAATTTTTATAATCCCAATCAGAATTGTGGCAATGTTCAAACCGTATATAAAAATATAAAAGAACTGATAAAAAAAATGTGCTTTAAAAAAAAAAGTTAAACTTCACCTCTGATTAGAGACTTTGTTCTGCAAGCTCTGTCTGGATGTGTCAGATATTGTGCTGTAAAAAGAGAGAAAAGAACAGAATAGACAATTATATTATTAATTTGGTCTGAACTATGTGTTGTAAGTGTATTGAATGAACTTTTTATTTTATATAAAACAAACAGCACACCAAAAACAAGTTTGTCTCTGGATCTTAATTTTCAGTACATTTAACACGTTAAATCCATAGACAATGCATTTTATTTGAATGTATGTGACAGTCTCAAGCTTACATCGGAGATATAATTGTTCCTTATGTTCCTAACAGAGCACTTTGCTCCAAATCTGCAGGTTTACTAGCAGTTCCTCGAATTTCTTAAAGTAGAACGGGATTCATACGTTTTAGTTATCAGGCTCCTCTCCTGTGGAACCAACTACCAGTTTTAGTCCGTGAGGCAGACACCCTGTTTACTTTTAAGAGTAGCCTTAAAACCCTCCCTTTTGATAAAGCGTATAGTTAGAGTGGCTCAGGTTATCCTGAACTATCTCTATAGTTATGCTGCTATAGGCTTAGACTGCTGGAGGACATGAGGACCACTTCTCATCATTATGCTTTATTCTATAGGCCCCAAAATACTCAGGCGCACTGTGCGTATACTGTGTCCACAAAATTAGATTTAGACAACTTTATTGTCATTTTGTATACACAGTGTATACAAAACGAAATTCCATTAATACTATTTTCAGACAGTGAAAAAGCAGCAGCTTAACAGTGAAAAAGAATATTTCCATTTCATATAGCGCAGCAGTGATAAAATGTAAACAGTGTGAGAGATAAACATGGTGCAAAAGGCATTGATGTGGAAATTCAGAGCAGTGCAAAACCAAAGAAATTATATGGTGCAAAAATGAAGTAGAAAACATCACACACTTTCTGCGAACAGTTGTGACTTCTTACTCAAGCGTTTCAATCTTGGTGTCTGAAGACACCAAGATTGAAACGCTTGTATGAAATGGATTCAAACTTTGAATCCATTTCATACACAGATTGGGGCCAATTCTTAACCATCTGCTTGTTATCACATACAAAAGCATTCAATGTGACCACCGTTTCTCACTGGGCAGTTAATTGTGCAACCCCATGTTAGCGTACATGATCTGTCGGACGTGTGCTTCGAGTCTACATCGAATACATCTTAAGTAAGTGCTGACCTCTGTGGAGTGAGGAACACCTGAGTATGTGGGGGTCTTTTCTCTATGGCCCAATTCTGCAGTATTTGTTTAATTAAACCTCTAACTTTATGTTCTATGCCTTTTCTCTTCACAGTAGCCATCAACACCTTCAATATTAGATGATAAATTTGTGCTGTTGTGTGTTGTCCTCCTACACATAGCTGTGGGCTCAGCTTTTACTGTGATGAACAGTATGTGCTCTCTTTCATCCCTTGCCATGAAAAAGGTCTGAGACCTCATCTCCCTATACATTTTTTCCCCAGACAGAGCCACCTGTGGAGCTAGCATACACAGAGTCTGGTTCTGTTGGAGCTTTCTTCAAAAAAAGGGAGTTTTTCCTCTCCACTGTCGCAGCAAGCCTAGACGCCATGAGGGACTGCTGTAGATACTGTTGCAACAATGTTCATCCATGAGGAGTGTGTCCTGCAAATCAATGATGGGATACAATCAATTGCTTTTCTCTGGATAAAATGTTTTTTACCAATCAGACTGTACAATCTGATTGAATGGTTTCTGTAAAGTGCCTTCAGATGATGTGTGGTGAATTGGTGCTATATAAATAAACTGAATTGAATCGAATGACTTTTAAGCCTATTCAGTGAAATTTAATCCAAAAACACTTTATTAATCCCAAAGGGAAATTAAATGTTGCAGTAACTTTATCTATAGTGTGCAAAATCCAATTTGAGCTTTAAACAGTGTTTTCATTCGATTTCTTCATCAGAATCTTGCATAAAGTGGTATTTTTGTTTAATTAATGCATCTAAGTATCATGAGTTTTGCCGTCTGAGCAGTATCTACATTGAGCCAGGCTCCCTCCAGGAACCACATACATTAACTGCAGCTAAGCAAATGCTCTCTTCCCTCCATTAAGGAGGGCTGATGTGCAGAAAGCAATCTCTCCAGATCCAAGTTACGACCAAGTGACTCTTTTAGCGACTAATCTGCACAGAGAAGTAGTTTTTATTTTTGACCTAATGTCTAAGTCCTATAAATCTGTTTTTTTTGGGCCTCTTTATGGCTAAGGAAGTGGTGTGATATAGCAGCGTCATGAATGAGCAACACATCAAAGGGGACAGGCAGCTACGTGTGAGGGCAAGTGCTTTTTCCTCTGGTTTAGAAGAAAATTACTGCATTTTAAAACTAATTAATATGTACGGAAGAGGATTAGGGCCACTGGAAAAAAACAAAAAGTTAACTGATTTTTAAATATTATTTCAGTTTAATATGGGAAAAATGTCAGACTTTAATCTCAGAATTCTGACTTTATTCTCAGAATTGTGGATCTTAATGTAAATGGGCACCATGAAGGAAGAGATGTGGGAGCACTCGGATTCACTCACAAAGATGTGAGTTGTTTGGGAGGGCCAATAACACATTGGTGAAAAATGAGGGAATTAGGTGGCTTTCTATGCCCGAAGGGTCCCCGGTGATGCTATTTCATTAATGGAAGAGCAGAAGGTGATTAAACAAGAGAGCTAGGTTAGTCTCTAAAACAGACATGGCTACAGCTTGATGCTAACATGTTTGTTAGCTGTCATAATTAATTTAGAATTCTGAGGAAAAAAAGTCAGAATTTTGAGGAAAAAAAGTCAGAATTTTGAAGGAAAAAGTAAGAATTTTGAGGAAAAAAAGTCAGAATTTTGAAGGAAAAAGTAAGAATTTTGAGGGAAAAAGTCAGAATTTTGGGGAAAAAAAGTCAGAATTTTGGGGAAAAAAAGTCAGAATTTTAAGTAAAGTCAGAATTTTGAGGAAAAAAAGGCAGAATTCTGAGGAAAGTCAGAATTCTGACTTTTTTTCTCATATTATACTGGAATAAAATTTTAAAAACAGTCAACTCTAATTTTTTTCAGTGGCCCTAATCCTCTTCCGTAAGAATCCTACAAAGGAGTCCAGTATTTTATTCAGGTGTGTTAAAGCATAGCACATCTAAAAGGCCTACGAGGACTGGGTTTGAATGGGAATCTGTACCTTCTGTAAGGTGCAATCAAAATACCTCAAGAAACAAAAGATGATAGCAGCACGTTAATGAAGTTAAGTATAGCATAAGTTATAGAATATTTACACAGGAGTTGGACAATGAAACTGAAACACCTGGTTTTAGACCCCAATAATTTATTAGTATGATGTAGGAACTCCTTTTGCGACCAATACAGCGTCAATTCGTCTTGCACAGTGGTCAGAGGGATTTTAAGCCATTCTTCAGGCAAGATAGTGGCCAGGTCACGACGTGATGCTGGCGGAGGAAAATGTTTCCTCTTGGTCACAGATGGAAGACGTGGACCAACAATTTGTCATCTTTTGAACTCTGGTATGTCCCCCATAATGTTGTGTGCATTGCAATATTTTGAGCAAAAACTGCGCTCTTACCCTGCTAATTGGACCTTCACAGTCTGCTCTTATTGGTTCAATGTGCAATTAATGAAGATTGGCCACCAGACTGAATGAAAACAGTCCACACTAAAAATGAGAGGTGTTTGCGCCCCGCCTCTCGTCTTCTCGCTCTTCTTCTCTGGTTATTCCGTAAACGTTTTAAAAAAAACAATCCACTGGACTTGGTTTCCAAGGTTTGAAGACGTTTCG